TGCCTTTCCTGACTGGGCCATTGGTGCATGCTGTAGATTGTTCTATGTCCAGACCTGGCTGGCTGTGCCCAGCCGGATCTCCTGGGTGGGTCTTGAACTTGTCTCAATCACCTTGACTGAGAGAAGGGGTTGTTTAGAGATGTGTCACCAACCCTCATCCTGCTTAACCTTGGTGTTAAGCCCTGCTGGGGAGGATGTGGTGCTGAGGTTGCCCTCTGTCCCTGGCTCATTGAGCAGCCCTGGTCTTGCAGCTCACTGACAGTTTACCTTGCAAGGATAGTAAAACTAGTTACATGAGGATTGTAATGGAAATTCAGAGATGTGATTTATTTCTTTTATGTCCTTCAGTCTTCTTTTATTAAGGTACATTCTTGCCTTCTCCATCAGTAAAATATATTTGGAAAACATTTTTAGATTCTCAGATAGGAGATACTGTGTTGATGCTTCAATTAAAAAACAGACTGTCAGCTGATTAAATCCCTTTTTAAGAAAGCTCTTACTTCTTGTGAAATAGATCAGATGGCAAATAGCAAGATTCAGTGCAAAAAAGTAGTCCGTTTCTCAAGTCTTCTTAGGAGAACTCACAGCAAGGATAGAAAATAGAGCCAAAAATAGACCACCTTGATCCTTCTGAAAGTAGCCATCTGAGTTTTCAGAAGCATAGTCAGCTATTTTCCTACTACTTTTACCTGCAACTCTTTCCCAAAGTTCAAATAAATATAGTACTGTGATGGTGGGGTGTATGTCCTGGTCTTTGTCTGCCGTACATCAGTGTGCTTCTGTAAATATATCAAAATGTAGTTTGCAGCACTGAGATCTACAGGTATCAGGTTTTGGAGGATAACAAGCATGACCTTATCATTTTGTCCTAGCTTATGAAAATCCAGAGGAAGAACCTCTCTTTTCCTGAAGAAACAGTGTCTCAAAAGTTTCAACTCCAGGAGGGCTGGTGTCCTCGCAGGTATAGACCTCAGGCAGTGTTAAAGAGGGTTTCTGTGATCTTTAAAACAGAAGTGCAGAATTGAAGAAGGTCTCAATTTCCACGTCCAGGACCTCAATGTCGCAAGACTCAGGTCATAAAATCCCTTTCATGTACTTACTGAGCTCTGGCTATAGATGTTTTGCCTCTACTTCTTTCACTGAAAAGCTTTTTCTGATCTTCCCTTCTCTAAAACTCTAAAGAAGTCTAATCGCTACAGTGCATTTAGCATACAGCCACTTTATACTTTGTCTCCCTGCCACTATTGTCTTCTAAACAATTCCTTTCCATCCTGGTGGAGTATTTCTCCAGTAATCTATGTGAGATAATTCACATAACAACAATCCTATCTTCACTTGGACAGGCAGGCAAAATCCAAGGAGTACTCAAGTACTATACAAAGGACAATGACAAAAAGAAAAACTATGCAGGCTTGGAAACAGGAAATTTAATTATCTGTTATGATTACACTTTGAAATAAGATATCAAGGAGCATGTAATAAATGTAACCCAGAACTGCGGCTAAGTCATATATGCAGTTGGCTGCTGTTACTGACAGGGTATTTGTCATGGGCAGAATGGAGTCTTTGCACAAGGTTGATCAAGGAGAGCGTTCCTTTCAGTGCAGAAAGGATAAACATGCTTTCTAAACTCCTTCTTGGAGTGGAGTCTTGGTGTGCTGGATCCAACCCTAGCCCCAGACTTGGTCAACAGTTTATTACTTTATATTATACTTATTTCTTTACATTTATTTTATACTTCACACTTATTCCTTTACGACTAAAGGATTACATAGGTGTACTTGAGCCTTTACATGACTTTGTCCTGAATGATTGAAAATGGCAAATCAAATATCATTATATAAATAAATGATTTCTTCAAATTGATGATGATGATAATGAAAATTATTAGACTAAAAGATCTTAATCAGAATTACTTGGTACACAGTATATATAGCTATAAGTACTAGTACAATGCACTATTTATTGAGGCAATATTGTATCAGTTATATTGAAGTTAGCAAAATAATAATTAAGTAGATATTGATGTTCCCCACCTATACCAATGACCACGGACACATCTCTTGCTTAGCCATTTTGCAAAACTGAACAACTATGTAGAAATGAAGTTTGAGACTTTTTATTAAGGACCCAAACAGTCCTTCACACACTCTAGCATAGTGGTAATTAAAACAATGGAGTGAGTAGTCTCTTCTGAAGTTAAACTGTTAAACCTGTGTTGAGAGAAGAATGTAGAAAATAGAAGTAGATGTAAAGACAGTAGAAATCGTTCCAAGTCACAACATATACTAATCTTCATCCATCTTTGTGAAATTTCATTTAAATACGCTTCACAGATGGGAATTCACCAGATTCTCCATCTCTTAGGTTTGGTGAATTAGATTCTGTGCCTAGTTTTGAGCATTTAACTAGTCCAGAAGCAGGCTCTAACCTCTGACATCTTCCCCAGTATCTCAGAAAGGCCTACCCTCTGTGGCTTGCATTTTACTTAGCAGCTCTTCAGGAGCATAAAGTACATGCATGGCAAACAGAGAAAATAAAAAACTTTACATGGAGATCTTAATATGTTGCTTCTGCTCAATAAATTTTCATCTGTCTTGCCCTCTCAGTTTTCTTACCAGTCTGAGGCAGATATGTACACTAAGATTGCAATATTTCGAGGATGTACAGAAACATGGCTCAGCAGTTATATTCTTCTTATATGAAATGGGAAGTTCCTTGAGCTCCCAGTGCTTCATCTGACTTCATTATTTTCACAAACATTCTGTGTCCCTCTTGAAAAAAAGAATTGTTGACCTTCTCCTGTTCCCTGTTCTCACCAACAGCTTCTCCTTTCTCAGTGGCTTTCTCGAGTTTATACATCTGTTCACTGAAACCTAGCCTCTGTTTTGCCAGGTTTGCATAGTTAAGACTGAAAATTATCTATTTTACTTCTGTAAAGAGTATGTTCATCATATCACCTGAAAAGAGTTGATTTCATACAGAAATACTGTTATCAAGTATCACAGAAATCCTCTTCCTGATTTTGTGATTAGTTGCTAATGTTGTGATTAGAACCCCAAATTTCTGACCAGATAGATTCCCCACCTCACCAGTGAAAGCCCCACTTTCACCAGCTGAGACTCAAGTAATCATCTCACCCTATTGCTAGAAAAACACATGTATAAGGAATGAGCTTAAACCCATTCTGCAAATTTCTACTGCATCATTCCTTATGTAAAAAATGGTTTCTAATGCAGACTTTGCATGAAAGACGTTTCACTTCTCACTTGGAAAAGCCCATTAAGGAAATGTGCTTGTGAGTAAACAAATATTAGCTGCTGAAAAAACACAGTGAAAATAAAACCAGAAGTAAACTCAGCAGTTCTTTAAAATCAGCTTTTAACAATATTTGCACAGTACCCATCTATTTCAGCTATGGTTTACCATATGGCTGCATATTGATTTTGAGTGAAATATTACCAAGCACTGGCTATAAAAAGGTATTACAGAGCACGCTTGAAAATATGGTGAGGAAAACCAGGATACCTCGTTGAACAAGATCGTAGTCATTGATCGGGGGCTATACTTTCAGGCCATATGTTCCTCAGAGTAAAAAGCAAAGCCAGGTAATTACAAAGGATATGGAAGTAAATTTGAGTAACGAGTTTACAGTCAGAGGTCATTTTACGTTAGAAGAGACTTCTGAGGTTGCCTAGCTGTTCCCCATCCCCACAGAAAGGAAAGACAAGCTTGAAGTTAGACTTATCCCTATAACAGTGACCCTTTACTGTAAAGTGGTGGTTTGTAAAACCTTTCTCTGTAACTATTTTGTGGAGTGGGAAGACAGTGGTTTTGGTGGAAAACAGTATGGTTTGGTGGAAAACAGAAGAAATTTTGTAAGAAAAGATGACTGCAGTATTTCTTAAGAAAGAATAGGGGTTTCTTGACATCCAAAATTCTAAAAGGTATTTCCAGTTTCTCCCATAGTCAGAATCAGCTGGTCATTTTTTAGTATGCAGACTTTAGTCTTACAAAGCATTTAAACTGGCTGTTAGAAATATCTCTTCCACTTGTCTTTTTCCAGAGATGTTAACCTTCTTAATGTTAACTGTTGCTTTCAGACATGTCTGTGGTAATGGGAATCAAGAAAATGGTATGGGTTTAGGCTGCTGCCAGTATGAAATTGAACTTAGTAAAAACAGCTAATCTTATTCTGCACTGTGCTCTTAATCACAGACCAAGCTGCAACTCACAGCTACTGAAAACGTTGCAGTTGTGGGAAAGCTGAAATAACCTACTGTAAGCCCTTAAAATCTCTGGTAGATATCAGAGGTGAGGAATGAACAGAAAGACTAATCACCCAATTTGCCAGTTGCTCCAGTGCTAAAATGGCAAGTATCTCACTCATACATAGTAGATCAGGTCAGTGGATTGGAAAAGTATGTTTTCCTTAGCCACACCAGAAAAATTAAATACTGGAAACAAACTTTTTCTCTGCTCACTTGTGAAAAATGGTCATCACTGAAGTTCAGTGAACTGTTTTAGGTGACTATAAAACACTGAATAGATTCTTTGCACATTTTCACACGAACATTCCATCAACTTCAGTTGAATCCATACTTTTTTCCAGTACACTAAGATGTTACTGGTTAGGACATGCACCTAGTTGAGACAAATGTATGAAGATGAATAGTGGCGGTACATATCAGAAAGTATCCTCTCTGCCACTCAAAAATGCTAGATGACAGTACAAGTAAGTCATAAAGTCAAACTCTAAAAATACCTAATAGTTTTATGGTCTAACAATATCAGCTCTTGACTCGCTGTAAAGTTCAAAACCATAAAAAAACAAAAAGACACCACCACCACCAAACAAAACCCCCCAACAATCCAGTTTTTTAAAAATCCCCCCCAAAATAAACAAAACAACAGCAACAACAACAAAAAACAACAACCACAAACTAAACACAGAACATCCCAAACAAACAGAACACAAACACTTCAAACATTTTGCAGGCAATTTTATCTGTGTGTGAAAACTCACTTCAGCTGTTTGGATGTAACAGCATGTAAAATGGTAGGTGAAGCAGAAAGAACAGAAACTCATCATATCACGCACATATCATATGCTCAGTGGTTTACAGTAAAAGACAAGTCTTGCATGAATTCAGACATATATAGACTGGCCAAGCTGCTGACAGGCTGACTTTCACATACTCAGATGTGACAGTCAGCTTCATAAGCATCCAGCAAGTGCTGGTGAAAAGAGAAACTTGTGAGCCAAAGTGCATTTCTACCTATTATAGTTATTGCAGGAAACAATGCTATTGTTGCATTCATCATGAAATGGAATGGGTAGAGCATAGGAGTGTTGTGGAAAACTGAGCTGCCTCTGCCTAGGGATGCCAGGTGGAACCTTTCAGTGTACAAACCAGTAAGAGGGAAATCAGGGTTGCGTTCGCCATGCCTGTAAAATGGGCATGAAATGCTACCCACACCTGTTCTTTGCTGCCCACACCAAGGCAACAGTTATATTATGTTGTACTCACCAGTGTAAGATAATGACAGGAGGACTTCCATTTCAGTAAGGAACAATAGTACCATAGTCCAATTGCAAAGACTATTGCACTATTACTATTTATGTACTATTTATGTTCATCCACATAAATTCAGTTTTAATTACTTACATTTCATATTCATGATGAAGAAAAGAATTCGAAAAATGCAAAATTAACTCTTTCCAGGAACACAGTGGGTTAGATTTCGCCATGCCTGACAGAAGGGCAAGGGCTCATAGTTCTCATCTGAGTACAAATCTGGAACAGAGAAAAATTGCTTGCCCTTATGCACTGACCCTTCAATATTGCTAAATTGTGCAAGCCAGGGCCGTTCCCAAGCTGCTATTCCATATTAAGCTAACCAATGCTTCAAGAAGCTGCGTCTGATTCTTTGACATTTGCCTAATTTGCCATGTCAGCAAGGACATAGGACATAGCAAGCCTAGTGCGGATTTGTCTCAGCTGAATCCAGTGACTATAAATGGGTAATTAAAGGTAAAATACATAGGTATTAAATTACAGATGATGAGAGAGAGATTCGTTTTTCTCTTCCACAAGTAAACTCGATGGCAGTTTGGCTTTTTGAAATCACCTATCCTGATGAAACAAGAGAGGATGAATGCTGATGTTCTGGTACCATAGCAGCACTGTAGGTCCACTTTTTGTGGAATAAATAACTGCAAAGTGACACTGGAGAAGCTGTTCCCATCCAAATTCAGAGCAAGTGCTGTGAAAAAACTTAATTCAGTGGAACTATTCTAAGAGCAAGATCATGACAGAAGTAGCTTCCATGGGAATACTTTTCTTCAATCTTGTTATCTATCTTAGTAGAAAAGACAGTTTACCAAAGCCACTGATCTTTCAAAACAGCATGACAGATCTTACCCAGTGCCCTTGCTTCACTATCTCATGACTATCTAAGAGGCAAAGTTGTTTCGTTTTGGATGTTTTTCAAAATCTGGCCTTCCACTTTTAGGAAGTAAAGCAGCCTAGCGTGGAAAAGACTCACTTCTTCCTCTGAACAAAGGCAAAATTACTGTTTAAAAATAACCAGAAATCTGCAGAAATCTGTCTGAGCTTTATTTTCACTTTTGCTTCCAAATTCCTCCTAAATAAAATTCTGTTGAATAATCAGTTCAAATTTGAAACTTCTTACTGTAATATAGTATAGTATCACAGTTCATTGTTTTTTACCGGACTTACTTGTGAGGATTTTTATAGACATGAAAATTCTCTTATGCAACATAATGTTGATTTGTTGCTGACATTGGTATTTTTTTTTTCTCTCCTTTGATTTGATTTCAACCTCATATTGCTCTTTTGATATTAAATATCTTTTATATGTTGCAATAATAGTGGGTACTTTTGGTAATATCCAGTTTAATGTGTTAAAAATTTGGAAATGGGATATGGGCATGTAATGATGTTTCCACCTGAAAAGTAATTGACATAAGATACAATTTACAGATTTTATTCAAATTCCACAAGATATTTGAATCCGAGCACTGTTCCTGAGACTGGAACAGTTAATAAAGGCATTCTTAAACAAAAATCCCTTGAACAACAGTAAGTCCAAAAGTAAAGTTTATCAAAGGCACTCAAATGACCTCTCCACAGTGGTAAACCACACTTCATGACAGCGTAGTTCCCAGTAACTTCAAGAAGATGTGGTATCTGAGGAGGCATAGCTTTCCATCATTGCAGTGCAAATACATCCCCATGAGTTCACTGTTTATCCCAAGGCTAAAGTGCTGTAATTTTCTTCTAAAGTCCCCCAAAACAGATAGAAAAAGTGCAAATTATGGCATGTAAGATGAAGGATTTTCACAGACCCACGCTCCCACTGTCTCTTGAAGCTGTGGCAGTTTACAAGTATAAGGCCTTAGTCCAAGAGTTAAAATCATTGCCTTAAAGAAAGAAAATGCAATAGTATTAGTTTAAAATTCTGCAATGATTTAAGAAAATAAAAAGCCTGATTTTAACAACTGAGTGGTAAAAAGTGAAAGATCAGTCATCTGGATCATGCTGAAGTTACAATGGCTCCTTAAAACTGTCATAATTTAGAATTACGATTTACAACATCTGCTGCAATATTTTCTGAGGAAAGAATTATCTCTTTTATCTGTAGTCCAAATTCTGCATTTTCTATTACAACAAAGTTATCACTCACTTTCAGCCATATAAATGAAATAACAGAACTGAAATCTTTCTAGAGAGCATCTATGGTAATGATTGTCAGTAAATCCATGCATGTGATTAAAAATGTGTAGAACTGGGACTTCAGTGATGAGTTTAAGTGTCCTACATATTCAGTTCTGATACAGCTTGAGCTGTAAGTTAAAACTGGTAACATTAACAATCCTTATTCCTGTAACCAGAACTGTATGGGTCATTTCCAAGGCACTGTAGTAAAGTATCTGTGGCTTTTATGCTTCAACTACCTACTCATCAAGGAAAAAAGGTTCTTTCCAGGGTTTCTTAAAAATATGCAATGCTGAGAAATATAAATGTTTGTCATCTGACTTACAGCATGTGGCAAGTATGACAAAGATTTTTTGTAATTAAAATGAAGAAGTAAAACTGCAAAGAGTGGCTTAGTCTGCTTTAATTTCTTAATTTCACTAAGTGCACAGAAGAGGCTACAAAGCGGAAAAAAATCTACGAAAGTAATACAAAAAGCTAGAGGAAGCCAAGCTATGCTTGGACAATATGCACTGGAATTATGTCTGGGCATGCACTAATGCAGTCCTCCAGAATGCTGCTTGTCTTGGGCTTGTGTTCATTAGTGCATGGCATGATGCCACTAAAGTTTCACACTGTCACATGAAAAATAAGAATGAGACTTTGACTGCAGCAAGGTTTCTGGAAGGTAAAAGTGTCTTTCTTAAAGTGTTATTTTAACTGTAATATCTACTGATGGCAGCGGATCAAACAGTTAGAATTAAGACGCAAACAGTTGTCATCAACCTGAGGTGATTTGGAAATCAGTGATTTCATGCCCTCTTCATCCAATCTCAAGCTTTCATCTACAAAATTTATTTTTTAAGCTGGCGACTTCTTCATGTATTCTTTTAGTAGTGAGAAACATGGGGGTGGATTTTCAAAAAAAATCCTGTCTTTAGGAAAGCCCTGAGTTGTCTCTATGTTCCCTTGGTTAGCTGCATCACAGTACTACTCCATTTGTGCTCCTTGGCAGCCTCAGGGCTGACCTCAATACACTATATGAGGGTCTGCATGGACACTGAGGAATTATGGCTGAACCAAATACCTCTGTACGTAACAGTGGCCACAGCCTCTCTCCTCACAGTGCATTAACCTGTGAAACTTGTCTGTAGATAACAATATTGATTTATGTAAGTAATTGTATTAAGTGTATTAAGACTTTTCTTGTTGTTTTCTTGTTGTTTTCTTGATTTATAATTTTCTGTGGTGCTACCTTTTTTTTTCTTTCAGTTCAAATTTAGTACAGAACAGTTAGATGCATCCTGACGGTTTTTTAGGTATTATCTTCCCTCTGAAATGTAAAAATTCCTGAATGTCTAGGCAAGTCATATTCTTATAAGACAAGAAGTACCCTAGGAAATGATAAAATATTCCAGATAAATGAAGTATCATTTTATTTGTTATTAAATCCTGTAGCCTGATTCAAAAATATAAGACTATACCCACAATAATCTTGATGCTTTTCAAAACAACCAGTTTTCTGTGAGCATCCTTCTCAACCAGGTGTATGCTGAGCTATATATGAAAGCTCTTGGTACCTTAGTGAAAGGGGTCTATTTATTCATATTTTATATAAATATTCTATTCTATTCTATTCTATTTTTAACATATTTATAAATTTTACATTGCCCAAGAGAAAGTCAGAACTTTAGAAAGTGCATTTTTAAAAAACTCATTAAAAAAAAAATTCAACTCAAAACTACCCTCTATTTTGACGTAACATTATTTAGGTTGCAATCTACATATTTTTTAAGATTTTAGGTGTAAGAAAGAAAAATCTGTAAATATAAATTTTAAAAATTGCTTATGACTTACTGTTATCCTTTGCATTAGGGTTCAGTTTTCTTTTCCTGTCTGTTGAAGTAAATATATATAAATTTAGCTTAAACATTTCTAGATTTGAAATAAGCAATAAAATATAAAAAACTTTCAGATTAAACTGAGTTGTAAGCACAGTTAAGTTTATTATTAAATCATATAAAATAAATAAACTTCTCTACATTTCTTTTACAAAACTTGAATCAAATTCTCAAGTCATAATGTTAAGACTTAATGTTATGACTACAAATACATTTGTCTGGTTTACTGGAGCCTGTTCATGTGCAAGAAAATACTAGAATAATAGTCTGTTTCTTTTATTACTTTTGCACTACTTCACATGCAAATAAGGAAGAAAATACTGTGATAGTCCTGTATCACACCATTTTTATTATAGAGCCATAATGGAGTTGAAAAATAGGGTAGTATACTATAGCCACGATGTCTTTGTAGCTATGAAGAAAAACTTCAAACTATGCTTTTACAGTCCTCCTTACACAAGGCAAAGTTTGTTTCAATACTAACTGACCAGTTTTAAAAATGTATCTTTCCATACACCTTGTCTCATGTAGGTAACACAGGGAGGAAAATAAAGTCCAACTCAAATTATCCAAGATCTCATTTTCCACTCTCTTGTCATCTAGAAATAAGATGTGACCAAAGTCATGCAAGTGTGCCTAGAGTTATTAAAATTTCTTAAAGGTTGTTCACAGGAAAATAGAAACAGTGAAAAGTTTCACTATCAGATGTAAAATGTACCTTTTTTGGGTTGCTCATTCTTGAATGATCTTCTCTTCTGAAATATTATTAGTGCAGAGAAAAGGACAGCTACAGTCACACATGTGGGGATGATTAAAGAGATCAGGAATTTTTGTCCACTACACTGTCTACTCATTAAAGCTGTCAAAAACATGAAAGGAGAGTAAATTTATAACTTACAAAACAGGCATTGTTTATCAGGTTATCAGTACTGTTTCTCCAAAGTCTTGCTCTGACTGAACAAAGGTTTTTTAAATGTATCAGCATGGTGATTTACACTCATTTTATTAATAATTTGTTCTGAAATATTACTGTAAAAAGCCTTACAAAAAACCAGTCAGATCTCTCATTTGCACGGCATTTGAGTCTGATCCTATTGGCATCTGCCTTTGAACTACTTATATATATTGATAAGACCCCCTCTCAGTCTTCTCTTCTCCAGACTAAACAGTGTCTCCTCACAAGAGAGATGCTCCAGGCCCCTCATCATCCTTGTGGCCGTCACTGAACCCTCTCCAGGACCTCCTTCTCTCTCATGTCCTGAGGAGCCCAGAACTGGCCACAGCACTCAGATGTGGCCTCACTACTGCTGAGTAAAGGGGCAGGATCATCTGCCTTGACTTGTTGGCAATGTTCTTCCTAATGCACCCCCAGGATACCATTTGCTTTCTTGGCTGGCTCATGAAAAGCTTTTTGTCTGCCAGGACTCCCAGGTCCTTCTCTGCAGAACCACTTCACAGAGGTCAGACCCCAGCCTGTGCTGGTATGTGAGGCAATTCCTCCCCAGGTGCAGGACCTTACACTCAGTTGAACCTCATTAGGTTTCTGTCTGCCCAACCCTCCAGCTAATCAAGGTCCATGGAATGGCAGCAGAGCCTTCAGATGGATTGGCCACTCTGCCCGATTTAGTATCACCAGCAAACCTGTGGAGGGTGGCTTTGATTCCTTTGTTCAACTTGATAAATTTAATAAGCCCAGACCCAGTATAGATCCTTGGGGAATGCCACTGACAGCAGGCTTCCATCTGTATTCTATTCCTCTAATCACAAACTTCTGGGCTCTGTTACTTAACCAGTTCTTGATCCTGTTCACCTAACCCATGTTTCTGAGCTTACCCATGAAGATGTTATGGGCAACAGTGTCAAACGGTTTCCTAAGTCATGGTAGACAACTAGATAGAACAATTAAGTAGGAGACTATCAGGGAAGATACCCATGCAGCTGAAAAATTTCCCTCTGTATTGGAAGGAAAATAATGAAAGCTACCTTAAAGTTAAAATATATAGAAAGATACAGACTGGTTTGTTGGAGTGGAAGCTAGTTAAGACTTCAAAGACATAAATAATATGACTTGTTCTTTTTCCCAATAATCAATATTACACTGATTTCTAGAAATGAACTCCAGTGATGGACCATAGCACATGTATATATGAACACTGTTGTGTACAAGTTCAAGGTCATACAAACCTAAAGTGGAAATATGAGCTGAAGTTTCTCCATTCCGTTCTTTATTCCAGAAGACACAGGTGTAGTTCTCACTTGTATTTGTTTTGAGTGTCAGGATGCTGGTGACATTGTAGAGGCCATCTGCAGTCAGTGTGTAGGTGGTATTTGCAGGTCCACTGATATTGAAGTTCTTGTTTTGCCAGAAAACATCTGCCAGAGGAAAGCCTTCTGACTGGCACATAAGAATAAACTTGTCTTCACCTGGTATTCTCATTACTTGAGTGTTTATTCTCCTGTAAGATGCTGCATAATAAGTTGTTGAGTGAAATTGCTTTATGCAACAATAGTAATTTTTCCACTTCACTTTCCCTGCTTCCCTTTAATGCTATGTATTGTCTGTCTATATCTGTGGGACGCTTATTTAAAATGTTGAAGGATGTTTTGTAGAACTATGCAAAATGGATTATTCAATCCTTACAATGTCTACAGCAAAAGAAGATGCTCTAGTACTTTATACAGGGCAGCAGTTTACACTGAATTTATAATTTATTAAGACAGAGGAGACAAGTGGAATCTTATGGGACTCTTATTTTCACTTTTATAATATGCCACTTCCAGAAGGGCTGATTTTTATGTCTGTTTTACCATAGCTTATAAACAGTGTAATATTTTCATCATAGTAGAACAAAATTTACTTTCAAGAGGAACTAATGTGGGTCTTAAGAAGGTCTGTGCCCATTTTTGTATTTGATAAAGATTGCTATTTAAATATCTGGGTGGGAAAAAAATGCTGCCTTGCATCACACAGGCATGCAATTAGTGGAAAACACCAGAAATCTTTCAAAGATCTGGTCTGTCATTCTGTCCAGTAACATATACCTTTATTACTAATGCCCACTTGGCTTCAATGAACACAGAAAATCACATGGCCTTGCTCTGGGACCTGCAGTCAGTTGGGGAATCCCCAGTCACTTGGCTAATTGCAGCAGGGTTCGTAAATAAAACAAAGCATCTCTGAGAAACTTTTGGGAATGACCAGAGGGTTTCCCAACAAGGCCAGAGTTCAAAGGAGAGGAGGGAGGTGGCACCAGAGAAGAGGCTGTAGAAAGAGGGGGAAAAGAAGAAGGATGGAAAGAGAACAAATGCTGTCCCTCCCCAGGACTGGTAGTTCCTGGAGGAGCTCAGCTGTTGAACCAAAGGCTAGCCACCACAAAGACAACTGCTGTGGTTCAGCTGGGGGCTGAGCACAAAGTCTTGGTGAGACGATTAACAACAAATTCCTAGAGATTAACCAATTTCTACCAGCTTGTAAGAATTTAGTAGAGATGTCTCAATGAATATACACTTACATTTAATTTAACCACTTACCTTTTACTTCCAAAGCAATGTACTTGTAGTCCATGCCCTGGTAGTCAATGAGACAAAGGTATGAGCCTGCATCTGTTATCTTCATGTTGGTGATCTGAAGGATGGCTCGTCCCAAGTTCAGTTCACTGTACAGAAGTGATGCTCTTCCTATGTAATCAGGATGTTGAGATTGACAGAGTGCCTTCCCATTGAGGAATGTGTACACCTCTTTTGATTTCAACCAGCCCTGCCTTTTCTGCTCCCAAACAACACTCAGAAGTTCTAGATCTACTGAGCCATTCACGGGGAATCTGCATTCCATGGTCACATTGCTCCCATACTCCACAGTGTAGAGCTGTTGAGGAACTTCAACTGTAAATAAAGCTATGTGAGGAAAAGAGAACAGTTTTATTTGTTTTATCAAAATATGTTCTGATTTTTTTTAAAATTTGGGCAAAACTGTCAGATAGTATACAGATAGTATACAGATAGTATACTGTATACAGATAGTCAGAGGTGTATGGTTACTGATTTGATTAAAAGTTTTAAGTATTTTTTGTTCATATTCACACTAGTATTTGTACCATAAAGTAATTACAGTAAACTATCTATATTCTGTATTAATTACAAAATGTGAAAGATAAGGGCAAAATGACCAAGTTTTTGGGGGTTTTTTTCATATTTTATGAATAACTTAAGGCTAGGCCAGTGGTTACATAGGAACCATTTTTATCCAACTAAGATATGGTCTCTTACATGTCCTAAGGTTGTAGGAAAGGGAACAATTAATTGTGGAAACTGTAAATCTAATTTCATTATCCTTCACAAAAAGAAATACCAGTGTAGTTCCTGTGAAACAGAATTGCACTGGATAAAGATGTATAGCTCAGAATTGCTGTGTAGCAATTACAGTCTCCACAAACCTGGAACCATGTGTGTATCATTTGATCTCATGCATTTTCTCAGATACATGCAACAGTATTACAGAAAAGATATCAAAATAATCTTAGCCATTGACCCAATCTGAAATTAATGTTGTTATGAATAGGTTGCCATTCTAAAGTGTACTTGATATGGCAGAGTTATTTATGATACATCACTCAATATACCTTGTTATTACTTCCATATTGGATGTACCATATATTGGTAGACAATTCGGAGGCACTTGGAAGTGTTGGTAGTGACATTCCAAAGAGAAGTCCATGCAACTGTGCCTTCTTTTTGTTGTACGTGTCACTCTGTCTCACACTGAGATTGTTATGCTTCCCAGTGGGCATTGGTTGCTTTGGTCATCCTCCTTCTCACAGCCCACCACTGATGCTGGACACCTCAGCTGCCAATACACCATATGCTAAAGAAGCCTGACTCTGGAAAGTGACGGACACCTGTGCTCAGTCAGTGCCAGTGCCTTCTATAAGATGGAAAGCAGAGGCTTCAGACATTACTGACCATTCATGAAAGTATTGCTGGAGGTGCTAAAGCCCACATACTAAAAGCTGCATGAGTTCTGCTAGTGGAACTGAAAGGCAATTTCTCTCTTACCTGAAACCATGGAGAACTGTGTTTCCAGCAATAATATTGTGAAGATCTGGAACATTTTCTCAGGTAGATCTGAAATAAAAGAAGGATTGCATTAGAACTTGCAACAACTACCTTCTGCTGAGGCAGATCAGAGCCGTGCTAACCTTTAAAAACCATCTCAAGTCATAAGCAGCAAAAACAGAAACAAACACTAGGCTACCAGCACATACAAGGAAAATCCTTATTAGAGCAATTCACGCGCACACAAAGAAAATGAATCAATGGCAATGAAACGGAATGGAATAAAGAGAAATATGTTTAATTTATTATATATAATATAACATTAATTTTAATAAATCCAAGTTCTGAGTCCTGCATTTTGGCCACAATAACCCCTGCAACGTTGGGGACGGTGGCTGGACAGTGCCCAGGCAGAAAGGGACCTGGGGTGCTGGTCAACAGCCAGCTGAACATGAGCCAGCATTGTGCCCTGGTGGCCAAGAAGGCCACTGGCATCCTGGCCTGTGTCAGGAGCAGTGTGGCCAGCAGGAGCAGGGAGATCATTCTTCCCCTGTACTCAGCACGGGTGAGGTCACACCCTGAGTGCTGTGTCCAGTTCTGGCCCCTCAGTTTAGGAAGGACCTTGAGACACTTGAGTGTGTCCAGAGGAGGCAACGAGGCTGGTGAGGGGTCTGGAACACAAGCCCTGTGAGGAGCAGCTGAGGGAGCTGGGGTTGTTTAGTCTGGAGAAAAGGAGACTCAGGGGTGACCTTATCACTCTCTAAAACTCCCTGAAAGGTGGTTGTGGTCAGGTGGGGTTGGTCTCTTTCACCAGGCAGCAACCGACAGAACCAGAGGACACAGTCTCAAACTGTGCCAAGGGAAATCCAGGCTGGATATTAGGAAAAAGTTTTTTATAGGAAGAGTGATCAAGTACTGGAATGGTCTGCCCAGGGAGGAGGTGGAGTCACCATCCCTGAATATGTTTAAAAAAAGACTGGATGTGGCACTGGGTGCCATGGTTTAGTTGAGGAGTTAGGGCATGGGTTGGACTCAATGGTCTTGAAGGTCTCTTCCAACCTAATGATTCTGTGATATCCACAACTTCACTCATGATATTTTCAGGATTTGTAGCTTGCAGACAGTTTTAAATAGTCTGAGAGGGAAATGATTTTATATTTTTTACTACTCACAAATAATAATCAATTGCTATTGACTTCTCCTATGTAGGAAAGATTCATAAACAATCACAAGAAGATTTTTTTAACTGTCTGCACTAACACTGATCTAGTTTACAAAATTTTTAACCCTACTTTTGTTTCAACTCTGCTTTGCATGGGCATTTTGAAGTTTCTTACTGCATTAAACCTAAAGACCAGGAAATACCTGGAACACGTTGTGAGGCAGTGGAAATCTCGGGATGGGTAAATTGAAGTTGGCTTCAGAAAGGATTAGAATGAAGACTTACTGCTGCTATTCTTTCACTTTACGTTGGTCTGACCTGTGCAAATCATCTTGTATTACTGATAGTACACCAACAGTCCTGGAATAATGCAAAAGAAGAAAGTACAGTTTTGGAGTGAGTATATTTATGTTCCAGTAATAATGACATAATTGAAAAGGCAGATGAATTACTTTGAATAAAACTTGCTAACATGCAGTATAATCTGAAAAAAAAAAAGTTAATAAGATCCAGAAATAAGCTACAAGGAAGTAAAGAAGAGAAGGAGCAATTTTAGACTTCCCCAGAGCTAGACTTACTGGAGGAGGGGTTTGATTTTACTTCCCTATTCTTCTGTAGGGTTAATCTTGAATCATTCTGGTTCCAATTTTCTCAGGTGCTGCATTTCTCTCATTGCTTCTCTCTATCCTTGACCTTTCAGTATCTCGGAAAATGGGGCTCAAACTTCAGCAAATTAGCAGCCAAAATTATGGGTCTGGAAATTTAGACCTTAATCATATGCTGTCACAAATAAAGGTTTATATGCACACTACTGTAAGCAGATTTATTACACGTAAATGAAAGCTAGTTAGCTTTATCAGAGGACTCAGTCCATTGCAACTTAATGTGTGATGAATCATAGTTACTATGGCTGTGTGAGAAAGGAGCTAATAAACATTATCAGTATCTCTATTTTCCAGATGCAGAAGTAAAATCTGTTACTGTTTCCCATACTCAGTCTCCTGCTATGCTCACTTTTTCACACAGCTTACTTAGAAGAAGATGGACCTAAGGGGAGGAACTGAAATGAAGAATGGAACAATATTTCACATCAATATTTAGGTCTCTGGATTAACTTTATGTGAGAAGTTTTAGGTATTCTGCTGTCTTTTTTATAGTTCAGAGTATATTAAGAATGCAGAGCATTTTTATATTTTAATGTAGGGATAGGATTTTTAAAAATACACATATTATCTATAGTAAAAGTAAGAAGATACAAAATCAAAGCCCCAGCAGATAATCATAATTATTAAATACCAAGTAATCTTGCCTGAGGGATTAGTTTTAGAAAAGCATTACACATAATATAAATACACAAAAGAACCCAAATATGAGAACATTTTAACTTGTAATACTGACAGCAGTCATAGAATGCTTGTGGGAATCAGGAAGGATCTGTATTAGAAAGACCAAAGATCCATTAGCATAGATGCGTGTTAGAAAGAACAAGGATTGTCAGCAAGAATCTGTATTAAAAGGCATTCTTCTTTATTTTCATAATCTCACTAGTAGATAACAAGTTTTTGTGCAACCTCAGTGCAATCTACCTATGCAACTTTATCATGTGACTCTGACACACTTCCACAGAGAAGCCTGCACCAGCATCTGGAAAGGGATTTCTTCTGAGCTTGAACTACTAACCATTCATGATGTTACAGAATAGCCCTCATGTTCTCTCTGCTTTTCATAAAACATATGCCATACTCTGCACTTCAGTAGTCCTTGTACACAATTATCTTAACTTAGGATAAGTTCACAGCACTGTCTTTTCTTTTTCTGTTAAGCAAAAGGCCACTTCTAAAATGTATTCATCATATGCCTGTTACAAATCTACAGTGATAAAAGAAGGAATGATGTGCCATAAAAATTAACATTTAATTTCTTGCAGCAAAGTGAGGAATTGAAAATACACTTACTGTCTGAGAATAGTAAGAAGTAGCATGACTTTTCCAGAGCAATTCAGATGCAGTCAGGAAATGCATTTCCCAGACCAACTTGCAGAAGGAAAAGCAAGTTATCACACAATGCTCTATGATTATGTGAGTTAAGTCAGAAAAACCTTGGATAATTAAGGTGGTGAAAAGTGTCACATCAGACATCTCAAGATCATAATGGCTTTTTATGAGTTGTAATAGTTTCAATGAAGGGCCCAAGACAAAAAGTTTGAATGAGACCAATGAAGACAAAAATATGACTATGATCAGGGAAAATGAGGAATATAATCTTATCTTTTTGTACAGCTTTTTTGCTTTACTGAAAATACTCAAGTATTTCAAGTCAAGTGAAACCCATACTTGACCTTCACTGGCCCAAAAGTAACATATTCTGGTAAATTTTCTTAGTGAAAGCTGACTGAAATCCAGATGGCAACGGTAATAAATTGCTAAAGTTCCACTGAAGATCTAAATGACACTAAATATTGTTTTTCTCTTCTTGATTCATTAATTTGTTTTTCCTCTGTCTTTTGCACTCTTGTTGCAGTCCCTTGTTGCCCACCTCATCACACAGGTAATTTATTGTTGGGACCATTGTTATGTTCCTGATGTTTACCTGTGACAGCCTATTTGCATCGTTTCCGTCTGCTCTGCACCTCACTTCACCTTACATGTGAAGAGACTTAATTTCTCACTTCCTCCTTTGATCACACTGTTTGTGAATTCTCACTTTCCCTGCATTGTTTAACTGTCACTTGTTGAATATTTTCCACTGTCAGTTTTTTGCTCCATGACAAATACAATCATTCTAATATGGCTGCAATTTTTTTTTCTATAGATAATAGGAGAGAATTGGGATGAAATTTTGTTACATTTAAAAAGAAGTTGTGTAAATCATAGAACTTTTCAGTTCCTAGCAGCATTACTGAATACAGGCTGACACTCTGGCATGATACACTGCAAATTTTCTTTCCTATCTCCAGCTGCTACAGAAAGCGTTCTGAGAGAGTCACAAGAACTTCTCCTGTTCATAACCTGTGCTTTTTCTGGGATGCAGAAGGTAAGGAGTCTCCAGACGTGCTGTACAATCAAAACAACCTATTGTCTACAGGTGGTGTGTTAGCAACAACTAAAAGAAAGTAAACAGGAATGTACAGATGCAAATATATAAAAAACCATATATGTAAATATATATAAAAACACCCAGGTGTTTTTCTCCATTCAAATCTTCCCTGAAATTCAGGATGAAATATTTACTAAGAGCTACATCCTCATGCATAAGCTGAAGAGGCTTGCCAGCACCACTCCTCTGCCTTTGCCTATGATAGAAGATAGAGTTGCAAGAGAGTTTCAGCTTCGAAAAATATCAGGGTTAGAAATTATATGGACCTGGGTTTTAGGATCTGTAACTCTTCCAGTCTTTCCTTCAGAATCAGAGTCTGTATCCCAGTAATAATTTGAAAATTAACTTAAGTAAACCTTAAGAATCTAAGAAAAAACCTGCAATCCATCAGTCAGAAATACAGGAAACATCAATTTGCATTTTATTAGTGTTATACTCACATCAGATCTTTATGGAGGTTATTGCAATCTGATTCATGTAACAGCAAGGAGTTTCGAAGCTCTATCCTGTTTGCATGACAGCTGAAACCCAACTCTTATGACAGTGTATAACATGCACCAATAGCACAGCTTGTAGGCTGATCTTATTCAGGCTTTATGTCATCAAAAAACTGACTATGTTGAAAGGATGTTCCTTAGGACATTGTTAGAAGTTTCAGTTTTGTGCTGAATGTACATTGAGCTCACTTCTCTGAATTGCTGAGAATATGCATTCGTCCAAAAAAATTAGACAAAGCATTCTGTAAAATTTATGTGCTCAAATTCTGCTTTTGATTATACCCATGATTTTTCAGTGGGTTTATAACCATTTTGAGCAGTGTACAGCATTGGAATCTGAACTTGCATTTACTAGGACTGTTCTACATTCATGAAACTATAAAGTTACATTTTCTTAGCTTCCATCAGATTAACTTTATAAGAATGCATCAAGCAATTAGTGGAAGATTGGATTAGGTGGCTGATAGATCCCCTTTCCAATATAAAAGTATTTTGTTCTATGAAACAGCTTTATCAACGGATGCATCTTTTCATTTTTCATCACTCTATCTTTTTGCTTATGATGACATCTTGAGTGAGAGACATAAAAGAGATACAAATGCATTTGTGCTACAGGTGGGACACACATACTCTTGTCTCCTTTACTCTTGCATTGCTTGCAAGAATGGTGTTCTACCTCAACACAAAAAAATGATAGTGTCTTTACTCCTGTGAATCCTAGCTGGTTTGAGATGATCTGTGATGACTGCCTGCCTCACAGTTCCAGATTGATTTATGAAATTATGTCTCCTGCTGCCTAGTACAGAGCAAACTAGTTCAATAAAACCACTATTACATTACTTTATTTTTCCTCAGTAAGCTTATCATATCCTGTCACACTAAGTAATTCATGGGTAGCTCACCTGTTCCCAGAAAAGCTCCAATGAGCTTTTGGCTTCTTTGGCAGAAGTCAATGACTTGGATGACAGAAGAGAAACACCAACGTTACTTCACAGCCACCATCACCATCTTCTACTCATTCTGAGACAGTCCTGCATATGTTTTCTTCATGTGTTCCCATTTTGGAACAAGGAGATAGCTCAGTGAAATTGCCCAAGGGTCAGTGGCTTGCCTTGGGCATCACATGAACCCAGTAATATTTGACTTGTCTGGGACAATCATATATTTGAGGGACCAGAGAAACATGGAGAGGGAGAGAGGAAGGGAATCTGGGAAAAGATGCTGAAAAACCAGAAGTCCTACTGTTAACATCTGCAAAAGCAGAAATCCTAATATTAATATCTCCATTGTTTTCCTGGCTAGCCCATGCTTAAATGATGGACCATTGACATTTTTTTTGGCCAGAGGGGAAAAGGGGCACACTCAAAAGTCCTGCAGTTCTGCTCCATGAAAAGAAAGCTGTGCAGGTCAATAGCAATGATTCTGTTTTTCATATTATTAGATCTTTAATGGAATTGTAATTAGCAATAGCTTTCATATTCTACACAATTAAATGCCACATCACAAAGCTACACTGGTTCATAGTTACATTTGTCAAATAACTGAGTCCTGAACTAAAATACCAGTAAGCCAATTTAGATTGTGCACATGAACCAGGCTTTTCTGAGCATTTTTGAAATTCTGATAATGCTGAGCTATTAGGAAGTAACATGCAGCTTACTGAAGCTAGTCTGCTCCTGCTTGCTGCTGTATTTTGTCTTCTAGATATCTGAAAGCACTGAAGTAGCATGAAAATGTTTTTAATGGAAAGAAAAAATGTTATTACACACGTAGTGCTTAACTACATTTTTTGTGTTAGGATAGGGTGGATTTCCATTTACCTAGTTCTCATGTGCTCTATTTTCATTTTGGTGTGTATTCTCTATAATGAGCAGAAAATACTTGACCTGAAACCACTTAAGGCATTGAAGGATAAACATGTGGCCGTCTCCCTGTATTCGTAAAAGTTAAGCCATAAAACTTAGATTATACTAAAAGCTTAATTTCTAAAATAAGATTACACAAGTTCAGCTTTGTATTTCAGAGAAGTATAAAATAGAGATTATTTAGCAAGGGTAGGTCCTTTCACTTTACCTGTTAATCTGCACATGTCCTGCTTTTCTAAGGAAGTAGCAAAATTTTATGCTTCCATCAACCAGTCAAGGATTCAAGCACGGTCATTTTAGAAGTTAGGGTTCAACTACAGAATTTATATTTTTATTCCCTCATTTTGTTATCTTACTCATCTGATACACAGCACTTTCAACAGTAACTTGCCCTTTCTCCTACAGGGAAAAGAGAAATGTAACAATTCCTGCTCTCCAGTAGAGTTTAATGAAGACATTAACTTCGTTTCATAACACTAAGCAAGCACTGTTTACAGCACTGCCTTGCAAAAGCTTATAAGAACTAACAAGAAGAGACTTTTACTGTAACATGCACACAACTTGTCTGGTCTCAAACAGGAAGTTTGAGAGTGAAGAGGTCATCTTGTCCAGAAAGGGAATTATTTATGTGGTGATATGATTCTACATTTTTGTGGTGAGTCAGCACTTTGTCTACAAATGGCCCTGATATTTCAAAAACCCCTCTGTAGATAATTAAAATGTGGCTATCACCTTCAACAATATCCTGATTCAAAAACCACGTTGGGAAGCAGGAGGAGATATTCAAGTTCACATAGTAACCTTGGAGAGTCAAATGGGAAGAATCAGTATCAGATTACACAAGATCTGCGATGAATCAGGGAAATCATTCTGTAGTAACTATTTTGCTTAACTGGGGTTGACCAATCCCATTATGATTCTGAGACACATTTCTCTATTCTACTACATAGGACAGCTTTCTGAGATTATTAAACACAACTTTACATTAGCTAGTTTGAATACTGCCAGCAGTGAAGCCCTGGCATTCAGGAATGAAGACTGTGTCCACATTAGTGGGACTGCACAATAAATTATTTATTTTCAGATGAAAAAAAAACACCCTGAGTCCAATGAGATTCCAGTTCTCTTTCCTCTTTGTGGGAGCCATTAGAGAGAGGTCATGGCTGTAGACTGTCTCCTACACCTAAATCTTAGATTTAGGTTTTTTCTCAGATATATGCAAATAAAGTTTACTCTACTTGCTGATAGGTTAAGGAAAGCAGGAAAAAAACACAAGAAAAAATATGTTTTATTAAAAAAATACAGTTGTCATACTTTTTTCCACCTATGTATGATCTCCAAAAAGCTATGCACTTAACAAAATGCAACATCATAATAACTTGTAAAATGGGATCCAGGAACAGGTTTCTTCAGCTCTTCTACCTAATCCGATGTTAATTACAATTAACACTAATTTTTTAGTTAACATTAATTACAATGTTAATTAAACGTTAATTACGTTAATTAAAATTTAATTAACATTAATTACACATTAAATATACATGTAAGCATGTATTTCATGTCCTAGACATAAGTAGATTTTCCTTTTTCCATTCCCAAGAAAACAAAATGGCCATCTAAAACAAGGGCTGTTCTTCCTGAATGTCCAAAGAATTGTATTATTCCTAGACTGTAAATCAGAAGAGCAACGAGCAGTAACCAAGTAGTGCCAAATCTATCATGAGGAAATTAAATGCCCAAAACACTTTTCAAGGAAAGATATCGAAAAGCTCAGTATTATGTTATTTCCAAGCCATAGTTACCAAGAGTTTTAAATCATCTCTTTCAGGCTTAGCTGAGAGCATCTGGTATTTTAAGGACTGAAAATTCCATGTTTGTATGGCACCTTGTCTTGTTGCACCATCATCTTCTATGAGGATCAAAATACTGAAAAGATTCCTCAAAAGATGGAAAACCAGTTTCACACAGGAAATTGAGATGAAGAAGGAAGAAAAAAAGGTTCTGAAAATGACCTCTCCAGAACCAGCTATGATATTCATGATGGTCATAGACCTAAAGTGCTTTACCTGAAAGATATTTTCAATTAAATGTTTCTTCGAAAGACACATTTGCCTAAACTTGAGAAGGTAGACACTTTGATATTTAAATAAATACCTCAATATCTAGTCACATATACAGAAGCTTGCATTCAATAATTTTTATGCTGTAATAATTATTTCAACTTCATTACATTTTTCCTGTGTTACAACAATATAGAAAATTGTCATCACACAATAAATACAAAAAAAGTTAATATCCCCTTTAATAGATAGAATATATAACATTTGAGCTGTCAAATCTTCACAACAGAGGAAAAAAGTCTTCCCCTGCTCTCTCTAGGTCTTCTCAATTTGCATATCTGTAACAGGAAGAGTTATGTGAAAAAATGATCTAATTACAGAATGATGAAGGCATAAAACACTTCATAGCTTTGGACCCCTTTCCTAGAGTTTGGAGGTACCAAAAAGTTTACTTCATTGTCGAAATTAAAGATCCAAAATTAAATTAATTGAAAGATCAAACAGGAAAATAAGATGATCATGGGAGGAAATAAAGTGGTAGTTCAAACATGGTGGTGGGGAAGTTCTCTTTAGCAAATACAGTGAGATTGCCCCTTTCTTTTAAAACCTTTTAAAATTCTTTCAAATACATTTAGTGCTCCATCTGTCATTATTCCCAGTGGAATATCCCCAGGTCTTAACTCTTTGGCTTGGAGATCTATACCTGCAGGACCAACAGGTTTACCTATAACTTTGCCGTAGTAAAGTGTAGAAAGGGATGCAACTAATGCAAGTGTTTTAGAAGTCTGCAAGAAAGTGAGAGAAAAACCTCCTGTTCCACACCATGGGATGTTTCACGGATTTGAGATACTTGATCATATGTTTTCTTGCTTTGTTGAGACAGAATCATAGAGCTTGAAACCTGCTCAAGGGGCTGTGACGGGTTCCTGTCTCGTCTCATTGCTCTTACAGATGTGCATGAACAAATCTTTCTATAGCAAAAGAGCAAGTCGGGAAAAGCTACTGGTTTGGGTTGTTACATATCTCCACATCACATTTTCGTTTGATATAGCTTTACTTTCTATTTTAAGAACCAGATTCATTATTTGATGTAACAAACAGTACACAATGAGTTATGATGGTGAGTTTGCAAGACACAGAATGGGAGGCTGTATTTCTCTTGAAGGCTCTGTCTGTTGAAACAACAGGCTAAATAAACCAGCCTTGAATCAATGCTCCAGTGACAGGGCTGGTTCATGCTGTGTGCAATTTGCTACTAATTTTTCCTTTGTCATTTATACTTACATTTCAGTTCCCTGTCTTCAAAAGCATCATCTCTGCAGTCATGTGTATCCTTATCTTTCGACAGCTCTGTAAGCAAAGGACATACATACATGCAGCCGTGAGCATAGCTTAAACTTTTCCTATAGTGATACATCTGTGTTAGAAACTGCCACCTCAGGCCATTCAGACTTGAATGCAGAGCAAGGGATGAGATTAATACCAAATGCTGTGTCCGTTCGGGTAAGTATTCTCGAGAGAGTTTTTCTTAGGAAAAATGCCAATGGCCAGCATGAACTAATTTTCACACAGCAATTTAACTTGTGGTGGTCTCCAAAAAACCATACAGCAAATTAAAAATAAATCAACCAGTAACCACTCCTGAGAGGCAGCAAAAGGATTTTAATCTCTTCTCTCCTGCTGTAAATATTAAGTCTCTTTGCTCTTTTCTTCATTTCCTTCAATACCATGTGTCTTGGTGGTAGTGGCCTTCCACTGAGCTTTGGTCATAGTAAATAGCATCCATATCCCAACACAAAAACTTCCGTGTTTCTCTCAATGTCATTATTGTTGTCACAAAGACCCTCAAAAGCGTGCTATGATAGTGGAGGAAACAGAGGAACATGCCAGTGTAGTTCAAATCGCAGCACAAAGTCTGCACATCAGGATGTGGTGCCATTCTGAGACTCCAGGGAGCCTGTCCCATCCTATTGCAGACTTTCCAAAACACAGCATACTGCTCTATGCTTTTCTCCTGCATATTAGAAGTGCATCAGCTCCTGGAACAAGTGTGCTTTTCTTTTGCATTTTCCTTTCAAAAAGACGACACGGTCATGAAAAGCCACTCTGTAATTTATAGTTGTATGTAAATGAAATTTAGAAAGCAAAATCAAAATTGAATTTAAATCTCCATTTGGTTGTCACCATTACAAAGTTAATTCTCAAGCAATTATTTCCACAAGAATCACACTCTGCTAGGTTTATGTCATATGTACATACTTGCTATTGATGAACTCGCCACAGGTGTTCTGTTGCCCTTATTTGCTCTAGCTGAAAGAAAACAATAGAAAAAAATTTAAACCACCCCAAATATTTGCTTTAGATCTAATAAAGAGCTTAAACACGTTGGTGGCAGGGGCACACTTAGCATAGTGTAATCATTTGCTCTCAAAACACTAAATTTCTTTAAAGACTTTAAAATAAATTCTTCAGTGCTCCCAACTTCCAAATTTTTTTTCCCTTTTCTTGTTTCTAAGCCAGAAATCCATTGATACTATATACTAACATCACTGGAAAATCCTTGTTCAAATGGTTTCCCATTGCACCTTTTCACCCAGAATCTGAATCAGAAAATAGGGAACAAAAAGGAGATCACCTTTTCAGGGGAAAATGCCCACATTCTGGGAAGGTTCTGTTCTGAAAAAATCACTTGTCTGATAACCCAGGACAGTTTAGGATTTAAGATAAAAACCTATTGTCACTAGTTTAGCTTTTGAATCAACTTGTAGATTATCACACACACAGACACACTCACACATGTATGTGTGTATATATAGATAGATATGAAACCTAATGTGATATACATTGTCACATACACACACAAACAATAAATATTAATGACGCAACCTAGGAAACTTCTGACCTTCACTGAAATCCCCAGTGGGATTCTTTTGAGCAGTCCAGGATTTTGCTGTCTCTTCTTCCACTTTTATGTTCTGCTCCTATTCCTATCATGTTCTTAGGGCAAGTATATTCTTCTACTTGAAGGATTATCTACAGGCTTTTTGCAGCCTGCTAAGCTTATGAATACTTCTCTCAGGACATTTCCACAGCCACCCCTCTCCCCCACCCAACCTATGAAAGAAAAAGAAATTAACAGCACTTCTTTCAGTTTAAGTAACAAGTTTTAAACCCCCTCCTTTTTTGGGTGCTAACTATAGTCTTTTCATACTCAGATAACCTAAAAATTATTTCTCCAAGTTTTTCTTTTGTTACCTGGGAAGCGAAAACTAATTATTGCCAATGCTTTATCTTTTCAACATACTTTCATGCTGAAAATGTCCAGTATTAATTTGTGAAGTGAACTGAGAAAGCTCAAAACTTGGTAAGGAAATTAATGAAATGGTATGAAGACTGAGTGAGAATATTCTTGTAAACAAACAGGTGCTCACAGCTCAGTGAAATTTTTCAGAGAATGAAGAAAAAGCATTCTGGTCATTCCAGTCAAAAGGGATGACACAGAACAGGAACCTTCAATTTCCAGTAGGTTCAAAAAAAAGTGCTTTGATGTTGGAATAAGTTAGACACTAATCTCACTGCTATACGTCCTTATCTATAGGAAAGATCAACAGACATTCATGGGTAAATGAAACTATGTAAAAAATTATCTTGTTCCACTCAGCAAGGATGAATTAACAGAGGAGATTGATAATAACTGAGATACTTTAAAATACATAATTTGCATACCTTTTCTTATGCAGAGTAGAAATAGAAGCCCTGATACAATAAAAGCAGTAGCAATGAGAGCTGCTCCAACAAAGCGTCTGCTCTCAGTCTGGAGAATGCCATCAGCTGAATCTTCAAGAAAAAATGTGGGGATTAAGATGTTACATAATTGCATAAGATCCTCTCTTTGCCTTTCATTTTCACTGTATTTTTTTTGCTATGAGCAGCTAAGACATAATAACAGCATTATAGATTGTGTCTAAGGTCAGGTCCTAATGGTGCACTTGGAACTTTTTTCAAATAGAGAGGAGGGGGGGAAAGATAGACCATATTAATATTTGTCTTTGTTCTCTGCATTCCATGTGATCGCACCTTGGATCTCATCCAAATTCTGCTTGTCAAAGTGTTACATCTGGTTTAGTTTCCCAACAGGATTACAGGAAAAAGCTAATTGAGAGAGAGGACAGGGAGCTCCTTTCATCTAGTAAAGCTCTAAATACAAAGGGTAAGTGGTCTCCTTGAATCCCAGATATTTTTGTCATTAAAATCAAACTTGCCTGTTGAAAGAATTTACTTTCTCACTCTAACTTACCTGTTCCAAAAAATGTGTCTGCACAGGGTTTTAAAAACTAGGTGGTGAACTGAAGCAGGGAAATGACATGTCTAAGTAACAGTCTGACAAAGAAAAATACTATTTTTGAGTTGGAATGGAATTTTTTTAACATTTAGATCCAATTTCCACATACCTGCAGGTCACATAAAATTCCTGTTTTTAAATTCTGACATACATGCATAATGAACATGTTAGTATGGTTAAAGTGTACATTAATGACAAAACTTAATGACACAGGTATTTCTTTGTAGCCTCTTCAAAATTAGGAAAGAGAAACAAATCACAGCTGATTCGACTGGGACAAAATCACATTAGCATCTTGAAGTGTATTACAATAAATTAAATTTAGAAATGTTACCTGTTATGTGTAAAATGGCAGATGTATTTTCTTGCAGCTCTTTATTCCAGAATATACAGTAAAAAATCTCATCAATTCCACTTTTGATTGTAAGGGAACTTGTCACACGGTACAACTGGTCACTTCCAGTTTCAAATCTTGTGTTTGCCTTATCAGTCAGATCTTCATGGTTTCTGTTTTGCCATATCACCTCAGCTTCTGGGTAGCCTTCTGACTGACACGTCAACTTCCATTCGTTGTGTCCTGTGCTCACCACTCTTTGGTTTATAATTCTGTAAGGAGCTAAACAATTGGGGGAAAGAATCATTGCCAATAGGAAACTAGAAGAACAGTCTGTATTAAATGCAAGACACTTTTTCTTTTTCCCCAGCCCCCAGGGTCAAGTTTCAGTGTGGATTTTGACAGGAAAAGTAAGTAACACTATTGTATCTCTAAAATTGGAGGTACAGGATTTATTACAATTCTGATGTGGTTTAGAAAGATCACTAGGGCTTTATGGCCTGTTTACTGTCTACATGATTTTGCAACCCCATTCCTTACATGTCATTGAGGACTTAAAGGACAGAACACAGATTCAACCTAAACAGAAGTGCCAAGTTACACAGCTGTGCAAGCACCATCAGACAGCTCCCATCCCTGATGAGCTTTCTTTAACTGCTAATCCAGATATGCCTTACTTAGGGTCTCTCCTGAAATCTTTTAAGAGTATCAGAGCATTGAACCTCTGGTAGTAGCACACGCACCCTTAACTTTCAGATGGATTGTCTTGTAGTCACCTCCCCCATAGACAACAACACAGCGGTAAACCCCTGCATCTCGGAGCTTCACGTCAGTGATCTGAAGGAGAGACTGTCCCAAGTTCAAATTCTCTTTCAACAATTTTATTCTTCCCCTAAAGTCTTTGTCCTGACTTTTGAAGTCTTCCTCTCCTTTGTGAAGTACATAAACCTGCTTTGACTCATCTTTCTTTTCCCAGCTAACACTTAAATCTTTAAACTCTAATTTCCCATTCACTGGAAATGTGCATTCCATGGTCACGTTGTTGCCACGTTCCACGGTGCAGAGTGACTGAGGAGCTTCAACAGTGAATAAAGCTGAAAAACAAAATTTGGAAGAAAACTTAATTTTTCAATAGTACACCTAACCTTTCAAGTCCTGCTTCACCATATCCATAGGAAATTTTAAGGACCAAAGTATTTGCTCTGTTGGAAAAGTTAAACATTTTGGTATGTACTTGTCCAAGTGTGTGACAAAATGCAAGACCTCTGCTGTATGCACACACACAATGGTCACTTACACCTGCAGACACCTGCTTTGTGCACACACAGTGTGATGCTGTACTAAAAACAGTGAACTGTATATGCACAGCCCCTCAGCTCTTGCGTTGAGAACACTGCCGTGGTAACAGGCAAGTGTTAGTCCTCCAATGGGAAAGTACTGTTTCTATAAACACCAATTGTTTTTTACCCCCAGTGTTAAAGAACACAGAACAATTCCCAGGTTTGATAGAGCCTAGAAAACCTTTTGTCTAATGCCAATGGTACCTTGTTTGAAATGGTGCCTCTGCTGGATCACTGACAGGGATTTTAACCTGACCTAGTATCGAAACACAAGCATCTAGTTTAATGCTAAGCCATGCTTAGGCCTTTTTACTTCAAACATTAAGGTAAAAATCTAAAATGATAGCAGCTGAAGGAAAAATGGGGAAATTAGCATTTGTGTGCTTATACATGGAAAGAAAACATACTAAAACAGTTCTACTGCTTTATATGACTTGGCTTCTTACCATTTAGGAAATGCCAGTAGAATAAAAATATATACAAAAACAAAGGCCTTCCCATGATGTAGATTGAACCTAAAACAATAAAATAATAGACAAATAAAAATACATACTCATTTTCTGACTTGCACTGTCAAATACTTGTTATAGTCAGACCACACAAAGAACTGGACAGAAGAGGCTAATTCCACCCTATTTAGAAACTGCACCCAGTAGATAATCTTCTATCTTCTACCCAGGCAGAAATCTTCCTGCATGGGTGGGTCCAGAAAAAACATCTTACTCTATTTGTTTTAAACATCTGTTCTTAGCTATGGCTAAATAGATGCTTTATCATTATCTTTTGATTAGTAAATTAGTACTCACAAATACCTAATTGTTCCCCTAACTGTAGCAGGAAATATTGCTCCTAACAGGAGAAGGAAAGTATTTTGTATACTCAGTGTAGGAAATAGTTCTTCCACACCTGTTTGCTTTACTTTAGCATACTGTGAATATACCCTGCTTTTTTTCCGAGGTCCCACAGTGCATACCAGAAAGCTCACAAAGTTACATATATTGTGTAAACAATTAATTTAAATAATTCATGCAGTAGTTCATCTCGTGACGTGTTTATGCAGTAATAACTATTTATCAACTGTTCACTCAATAGTGCCTTTTAAAAACAGTGACAAAGCCAGTCAATCTACAAGCAGAATCTACTGCCTTGAATTTCTGCTGCTTTACCTCTGAATACAAAACCAATTTCATTTGTGTCAGAAGTTTTTCCCCTCTTCACTGACATAGGTTTTATAGTCCTACACAACATTTTAACATTTTAAAATGCTTATTAATGCTTATTAATATAAACTCATACATTAATCTTCACACACCCACTGCTTTTGGTAAATCTGTATTTTTAAGTCAGAACAATAGTAATATCCAGTAGTAATATCATTTTTCAAATTACTCGTAAGGAAAATTCAAACACTATAACAGATATCTTTCATGAAAACAGAAAATGGTAGATTTTTTTTCTAAATAAAGTCTTAATTTTAGATACTCAAAAATCGACAAAAATAAGGAAGGATTGCCTTTCGCTGTTTCCTAGTGGTAGTTTCAGAATCTGTATAAGAAATCCAACAACTGTAATACCCATGACACTTCCTAATTGATGGAATTCTATCTTGACTGCCATTCTTCACCATTTTTATAAGATGTTTCTTCCGTCTTCCTCTGATTGTAAACTTTAGGATGATAATGAAAAAACAATATTGTCCTGAATTCAGAAGACACATGTGCCTTTACAGTGCTGTGGCTTAAGGAAACTAGACTCCTTACAACAATTTGATTCAAGGTACTTCTTTTCCTCAGATTGCTGCTGCCTGATCCCAACAACTGATTTGCAGCACACAACGCACATGGAGCTGAGAATGGAAAGCAATCTATTACATTGTTAACGATATAAGCATGGTCTGAAAACAGGTGCAGGAAAAATACAAGAAGATTCTTAGGGTGCAAGACAGGATTAATTGATAAATCCTAGGCTTCATAAAGTGGTTAGGTATCAGACATATTCCTTACCCACAAATAGTGTCCTTGAAAGCACTAAAAAATTGCAGCCCGATCCTGTGGGTCCCCAAGAGCTTCTCTGAACCTGTATGCATTGGAATGCCTGCCTCCAACATGATTCCTCTGCTTGACTAACATGCACCCCAGACCACCAAACTAAGCTCCAAAGCAGAGCTTCTCAAACGAGATAGAGACACACGAATATCACAAATGTGCCATAATGTCCCTTATTCTGGAGACAAGCCTGCCACTGAGACTGACTGGGTGTTGTTCTGCACTCCCCATGTCATAATGACCAGAGTTTCAGCGCACTCAGACTCACCCTTTTTTTTTTTTTTTTTTAAGTAGAGGCTGTAGACTGCTGATAACAAAGCTGACTACCTGAACTAGTACACTGCTTGGAACAAACAGTATGTGCACTACAGTCCGGATACTGAAAGATACCCAAACTCCTGCCTGCAAGTCCTATCCACCTTTTTGACAGGAAAAGAGAATGTTGGCACCATCTCCAAGAGAGGTGCCCTAATTAACTCCTGGAAGACAGATTAAAAGTTAGCTTTTATAGTCCTATGTTTATGTCCTGCAGTTGCTGAGATATATTCCCATGCTTTCTCCCAGTGTAGAGGAAAAACAAGCTTTACAATACACAAAAGATGTATGACTACTACTTACAAATTTCCTCAGGACTGAGAATGTTTGCTGCTGTATTCAATTTTTCACTTTCAGAGGGAAAAAAAAGTAGGTCCAGGTCAAATCCAGGAGTGCATGCAGAAAGAAAACTACTGCAATAACCATTATAGAACCTTCTCCTGTTTCACCCTGAGCAGAAGGATCCTCTGGATCAGTTTGAGACTTTGATGTCAATCAAAGACCTTTACTAAAGCTATCTGCTTGCTGATTTTCTTACAGAACCTACCACAATGCCTCTTCTGTCCGCCTGCCAGCTTCCAACATCTGTGGCAAATAGTTTCTTAAAAGCAAAATATATTCACTGTACAAATTGCTCCTCAGTACTGCTGCTGCATGTTTCTTCCACAATCAAATGAAAAAGACAGGAAAAACAGAACTATTTGTCAAAAGACTTCATGTGACAACTTAAATGTTGATGTAACTACACCTACTTCTTTAGGAAACTTCCCCATTATTGGAAAGTTCCCCGGTAGGGAAAATTCTGTATTGCTAACAGTGGTTCACTGTAACCAAAGACATAAATGTTGCAAAAATTAGAACATAAAGTGCCGTGAGCATTTAAAGAAACATATAATCCAACCAAAGCAATGTGTGAGCACCAGTCCTTGAAGTACCAATTGCAAGTGGTCATCCATTTACACAAAGGGTCCCTAGATTATTAATTTCAAGCCAAACAGCTGCTAACATGAACAAGAACTTTCTACACAACTTTCTAATGTCCATAAAGGTCATAGGAATAATATAGGAATAACAGGAAAAGCATTTCCTACCCTCCTCTTGTAAAGACATGTACTTTCTTCCCAAGATCTGTACAAAATGAAAGCTCCTTGCCTTGCTACTGTGTAGTGAAAGAAGGGTTCTTAATCCTATGCACTTTGTTAGCAAAAAAGAGGTCACTGTTTTTTTAATTTTCTTGATTCTAGAAGTAGATTAAGAATACAGAACCCCCCTCCCCCATCAAGTGTTAGGAGCAAAAGGATGTACTCAAATTAACTTGTAGACCATTGTAGGAGAACCGGGTCAACAGCACAAAATACAACTCTAAACATATATTTCGGTGTAAATTCATTCTCTTAAGTTGTCTTCATACATCTCAGAAAAGGGCTGAAATTCTCAGAAGAGTTAAAATACTGTGAAATGGCCACTCTAAAAATTTTCAGTGTTTTCTTCTTTCCACTTGACAGCCCACTTACAGTATTTGTCATGGAAGAAAAACCACATAATACACAAAACTGATTAAGATTAATGTTTTCATTGATGTGTGAGATGAATATGGAAACCCTGGCATATAAAATAGCTGAGCGTTAACATTTTGGTTTTAACAACCTTACAAGATTGAGGGGGTGGATATCTCCAGTAGGTGAGAGAGATTAATGTTAATTTCCACTGGGTTTTTTGCTGCTCTTGAAAATAGGCTAAATTATATTGTCTCAGTAGAGGAAAAAAAAAAAAGAAAGGCAACAGAAAGAAACTGAAACACATTTATAAAATACTGTGAGATCAGAGAAGCCGCTGATGTAGTGACCTTTCAATGCCAGGAAATTTGTTTCTGCTTTTTCATAGCTTGCCTCGAGGTCACAGGGTTGCATTTTCCATGTAAATGTATAGCAGCAAATAAAAGACCAAGACAGGTGGGATTTTGTTTTGTTAAGTTTCTTTGTGTTCTTATTATTTAATTTTGTTGTATATACTCACATACTCCTATATATACACATACACATCTACATGCACACAAACACATTTTACTGCACAGTTCTACACTGCCGTGGTGGGCTTTGAGTTTGGGGTTTTTTTCACCTGTTTTGCAACAAACTCCTCAAACACCTATCTCAATCCTACCTGTCACCGGGTATTCCCAAGGACAGCAAACGCCTTCAGGGAGAACTCACCCGGGCAGGCTCAGGCTGTGGTCGCCTCAGGGTGGGATGAGCTCGGTGCAGCGCCGGGATGGGGCTCCGGCTGCCGGAGCCATCCGGCTCCTCCCTCTCTGACCGGCCTCTCCTCCCCACCTGGGGGCTCCTCCCTCTCTGACCGGCCTCTCC